ACTCAGGATCCATGGAATGCAATGCAATGCAATGTAATGTAATGTAATACATATACGCTGGAACCACCACTTAATGTTCCACGATCTGAGCTTTCCTTTCAATTAATATTAAATTTCAATGGTCCCAGGTCAATAATCTCAGTGTCACATTATCTACATTGAAGATGTTTGTCAGTTTAGAGTTTAAAACTGTTACATGTGCATCAAAACTTAAACAGTGGTGTCACTATAATACTGTTTTGCAGGATCCAAATTTTTATGACATTTCTGTATATGACCATGCAATAAACTGTGACATGTAGACAAATTGCTAGGGAACAAGTGGGCAAACACGATTTGAAATTGTTTCTTGGAAACCAACCTGGTACAGGTTGTCCACGGATACAGGGTACGGGTGATCAACAGGTTTTTCCACGGATACTCTACAGGAAACGCAGATCAGAGTCGAGCTGAGTTGTAGTACAGATCAGATCAGAATTTACCTAAAGACTTATTGCGAGTTATTGTGATTATAAGTGATTGTACAAGGAGTGATCAATAAACCCAACCATACAATCCAAATTCCGTATTATCGGTCACACCTAATATATGTGACGAAACAGTGAATTTTTAATTTGTATCTGTAGATGGACCCAAACATAGCACCTCAAAGAATCTTAACATACAAACCATTTACTTGCACAGATGTAGGATGTCCTAGAAGAATTTTGTAAGATTCCTTGAAACTACAAATAGACTAGGGGCCTGTCTTGTTGTTTACAATGATCATACCACTTTGCAATACTTTGAGCAAACAAGAACATTTTTCTTAACATGCAACCTTCCAAATAGTTGGGCATGTTTAACAATCATATAAGAACTAATTCAGAAAATCACTTTTATTCTGTTCAGAAACTGACACTAACCTGTCCTCTACGCAGAACAGTAAAGATCAAGATACTGTACGTAAAACATTACATTTACTTGTAATTTTGTATGATGCAAAATGTGTTTTCTTAGTTTGTTAGAACAACAAAAATTACAAATAACTGAAAACAAAATAATGAGAAAACTATCTGGATCCAAGAAGACTGAAGTCATTTAGCAATTTCGGGGTTACAGATCACACAATAAGCAGCTTCACGATTTATACACATCATATGACATTTTTGGTGAAGTAATATCTACTGCGGGACGGACTACAACAAGTATATTGGAAGGGGGAAAAAGAAATGTACAGGGAATAAAGCTGAGATAGCATAGTCAGTATAGCAACTGGTTATGGGTTGGATGACCAACGGGTTGGAGTTCGAGTCCCGGTGGGGGCAAGGATTTTCATTTCTCCAGGTCGTCCAGACCAGCTGTGGAGCCTAACCAGCCTCCTATCCAATGAGTACCAAGGGCTCTTACCCCAGGGGTAAAGTGGCAGGGGCGTGAAGCTGACCGGGGGCAAGGATTTTCATTTTTCCATGTCGTCCAGACCAGCTGTGGAGCCTAACCAGCCTCCTATCCAATGAGTACCAAGGGCTCTTACCCCAGGGGTAAAGTGGCAGGGGCGTGAAGCTGACCACTCACCTCTAACTAATGCCAAGGTCAAGCAAATGTGGATCTTTACATCCACTCCCCCATATGCCTTAATGGAGTAGTGCCTAATTAGTTAAGCACAGGGACAACCTTACCTTTACCTCACCTCCAAGTGAATGCAAGGATAGTACCTTGAAATATGCCATATCATTTATTTCCAAATCATCTTTGATTAATGATCCTACCGCTCAATGCTATATAATCTGCAACATTGACAGCATCACTAAATAATTTATAAATACATAAGAAGTACACTAAACCCTCAAAACTCACAATGTGTGATCATCTCAGAAAGATTTCGGCATTGCCTGCATCACTCCTTTCTGTTACGTGTACTGCAGGTTCATTGACCCATGTGTTACATATCTGCTGTCATTCCCAACAAACTGCGCTGTTCAAACATCGAACACAGTGTTTGTTCAAGCATCCAATTATAACCATATTTCATAGCTTTGGGTACCATGAACGGCATGGAGGAGAAACAAAAGGATCACCTAACAATAAAATAAAGTTCATCAATAGTGGGAGCTAGGATAAGTTCAGTTTGTGTAGTGATGGGCTACAGTTTCGATGACTGGAGTTTGATTCCCAGCATGGGCAAGATATTTCTCTCTACTCTACAGCATCCAGACTGGCTCTTGTGTCCACCCAGCCTATCAAATGGGTACTGGGGGTAAAGCAGACAGGGTATAAAGCTCACCACTCACATCTCACTAGTGCCAAGGTCAAGAATTGTGGAGCTATACCACCACCCCCCATACTTCGTCATAGTGTGCACAAAAAAAAACTATAAATAAGGTTGTAAGATTTTAGGCTTTCACGGTGGTGACTATGAAGAAAGCAGTCTTCTGGGATTTGGCACCGTGTATATGTGGTGTTAACCGACGTTTCGGAGGAACGTATCGCCCCCATCTTCAGGGTAGAAGAAAAACCGTTTCTCACGGTGTTGTCGCTTGCAGATTTCTTATACTTTTTCTTCTACCCTGAAGATGGGGGCGATACGTTCCTCCGAAACGTCGGTTAACACCACATATACACGGTGCCAAATCCCAGAAGACTGCTTTCTTTATAAATAAGGTTCATGAATATATTCTCACCACAAGCATGTTAATGCACACTGGTTGTGAATTCATTTGAATCCTTAGTCAAAACATAATAATTTTACAAATAAATTACTCCCCATTAGGTAGCCTTGTGATGATAACTGAGGAGCTATTTCAAGGAAATAGCGGCTCCAGTCTAGAAAACTGAAATTAACGGCCGTGGGGATTCATTGTGCTGACTACGCAACACCCTCTATCCTCAAACGTTGGCACTAAACTTCGCCGACAAGTGGCGGTCGCTCGGTCGGTATAGTTCGCTTGCAGACTAAAGTCACGGAGTTTTTAGGGGTAAAGGTCAAATAAAGTTGTCCCTGTGCTTAACTAATTAAGTACTATGCCATGAAAGCATATGGAGGACTGGATATATAGATCCACATTTTCTTGACCTTGGCGCTAGCTGGAGGTGAGTGATCAGTTTCACACCCCAGCCGCTTTGCCCCCGGTAACTATTGGATAGGAGGTTGGGTGGACCCCAGAGCCAGTACGGATGATGTGGAGAAGAGAAGATTTTTAACTCTGCTGTGATTCGATCTCTGATCCCTCTGCCATCTAGTCCATAGCTAGTTGCTATACCGACTCCACTATCCTGTACCGTCAGGGGTAAAGTTCAGAAAGTAAATTATCGTATTTTCCAATGGGGCAGTCAACACAACAATAACTTTGAAAGAAATTAAATTATGTATTGCTTTTAACAAATATGAGGTTTTCATAACAGCGAAAGATTAGCTTGTGGTCTTCTAGTTGTTTTACAGTTGTACTGCAGCACACAGGTTGGAAATCATTGATCTAGATGATACAATGCCTAATGATTGTCATTGGAGAATAATGAATTGGAAAGAATCCCGAAGAAGTGTTCATGGCCTCATCAGAGTAGTATCCTGACATTTGCCTTGAAGGGCTGAGGTTCAACAAGGGGAACCTCAGTCAGACAGCTAAGTCCCAAGTGAGAACATCTCAACCTCTCACATACAAGTCCATGGTGTTACCGCATGACATGCACAAAGTGTTTTTAGTTTCAGCAAGGCAATGTGACACACCCCCCACACTGTTCGGATAAATGTGACCACCTTGGCCAACTTATTCCTAAGGCATATAAATTTATGATCTGGAGGCATATCTTGGCCACTGTGTTCACCTGACCTCTCTCCATACTTTTTCTCTCAGTATCTAAGGAGTAAAGTGCATGACACATAACCTGAAAGCCTTCATGATCTTTGGCAAGAAACTGAGAACACTTTGGTGATGATGTAATGAGAAATAACAAAATTTATTTTTCAACAGTTTGCTCAGCCTCATGGGGCTCATCTGCATGTTTTCAGGGGTTTAGAAACTTCTTCACTAACTTGTGCAGGCCAAGAAATTTTCTCACATATAGGAATTTTGTTAACTGTCAACACAACAAATATACTCACTTTTAATGTTTTACAATTCAACTTTTTATTCCTGCAGGATTAAAACCTAATTCCTATATATATCTGGAACACACAACAGGCTGCAACCAATGAAGATATATTTTCTTATATTCATATAATTTAAAGGGCCTTGCCATAGCTCAAGCGGTTAGTCGCTGGCTTCCCACTGCGGCGGCCCAGGTTCGATCCTGGGTCTGGTCAAGTGGGATTTGTGTTGGACAAAGTGGCGCTGGGGCAGGTTTTCTCTGAGTACTTTGGTTTCCCCTGCCAATCTTCATTCCACCAATTGCTCCACAATCACCCTCACCTATCATCTGGGGCTGGTACAGTAGGCCAGAAGTGGCCGCAGTACAAGGGACTTAGTCCCACCCCAGTAGCAATAATATATAATTTAAATGTTACCTTGAATCAGTATCACAAATGTATTGTAAATTCTGAAATCACCAGATATTTCTACTGGAATTCTGCAGATGTACAGCACTTTCAATGCACAGTTGATTTTTATAAAGCTAAAGATTTCAATTAATTATTTGCAAAGATTAACAAAACACACATTGGCAGCTCAGAATAGTATGTATCAACAGTTCTGTCAGTATAAAGCCTCAGGTTGTTTGTCACAACAGTTAACATTGCTACATCCTGACACAACTGGACCAGTTAACAAATTTTCAGATCAGTAAATCAAAGTCTATGCTCTCCATATATTTATAAAAATAAGGATTTATTTTACTGTATGAACAAAAATATGAAAAGTCAAAATACTGAATTTTACATACTACATAGATATCTTAGTACATTTTTATGCCTTTTTTGGAGTATTTATTATTATTAATTGTTTACATAAACTGCTTGTTAATAAATCTGTCTGTATGTTTAAAATATTTATTCTTATGCCTTTTTTTTTTTGAAGAATTTATTATTCTTAAATTAAGTTAAAAATGTATTTTGAAATGTATTGCTGTATTATAGTGATGAATCACTGTGTGAATGTTATGTTATTTTTGATGTGAGGTTGTTGATATTTGACATGTCCAATAGTAATTCTCCACAGCTATGGATGATGAAATAAATAATAATAAAAAAATAAATTAACAGTAAATAAAATCACTCAGGATAGTCTGACACGTCATATGTTCTTGAAACACAATGTCCATAAAAGACATACAGAATGCACAAAAATTCTCATGTGATAATAAAACTTGGAATGTCAAGATATTCAACTGTCAGTAGCAGACCAGCGATTATTTCTCTGTGCCAGGTTACAGTTTCTGCATTTTCATGCCCATAATTTTTATTACGTCCATTTTATTCTGTACCTAATATATAACATTTTAGGCTTCTCATTTTCAGACAGACAGACATACATACACCACAATGATTCTGACACATCATATCCTGAAGAATAGACTCTCGCGCTACAGTTCAGCCCACTAGTTCGTGATATGTACTTGATATTCACAGCCACAATTCCATCACAGTTTACTGAGTGCACGACTAACTTTTGAGGCAGACGGTCTACTTAAGACACCACAGATGTATTCACCAGCCTCAATTACTTTCTCTAAATCCACTCCAGTCTCAATTCCCATACCATGTAACATATACACCACATCCTCCGTAGCAACATTACCAGATGCTCCACTGGCATAAGGGCATCCTCCCAGACCAGCAACGGAGGAATCGACGACAGAAATACCGAACTGGCAACAAACAGAATGGAAATTATGGAAACCTCAATTAATATTCTTTCATTTAGGATCTCCCATCTTTTAACATAAACTTTAAATGGTTCCAAGTCAATAAATTCAGCACTAAATTACTTTCATTTAAGAATTAAGGAATTCTAAAGGAAGTTTTGCTGTGTGTGCTACTAGATCAATCTCAGTACTTTTTTATTAACAGGTCTTACCTCAAGCGCTGTGAGGATATTGGCCAGTGCTTGTCCATATGTGTCATGACAATGGACGCCCAATTTATCTACTGGTATAAATTTAGTAACTTCTTCTAGCATGGCTCTCATTGTGCCTGGCGTACCAACTCCAATGGTGTCACCAAGAGAAATTTCATAGCATCCCATGTTGTACAGTGAATATGCAGCCTGTAAGTAAGTACATTACACTATTTTTTTATTGCTAGTGGGGTGGGACTAAGTCCCTTGTACTGTGGCCACTTCTGGCCTATTGTACCAGCCCCAGATGATAGGTGAGGGTGATTGTGGAGCAGTTGGTGGAATGAAGATTGGCAGGGGAAACCGAAGTACTTGGAGAAAACCTGCCGCAGCGCCACTTTGTCCACCACAAATCCCACTTGATGAGACCCGGGATTGAACGTGGGCCGCCGCGGTGGGAAGCCAGCGACTAACCGCTTGAGCTATGGCGCAGCCTACATTACACTAACTTCAATAAAGCTACAATAAACCGAATATTTATTTCTGACTGTAGTTACACTGTTCTTATGGTTCACTTACGTACTGATGTATCAACATCTATATTTAGAGTTCTTGATATTATGAACTAACATGTCTTACAGACTTAGTAAAACTGTCTACATTGAAGTTCCAGAGGAACATGCTGCCTCCATCTTCAGGGTTGAAGAAAAAGCCAAGCAAGAAACCAGTATGAAGGAGGTACTGCTTCTACCTGCTCCACGTTGGTTTCTTTGTTGAATTATTCTTCAACACTGAAGATGGAGGTGACACGTTCCTCCAAAATATCAGTTGATTTTCAATGGACTACATGAAGTTATATCCCGGAAAACGTAACTCTTCATAACAAATGCTGTGAGAGCATCAAATCCTACAAATATGCAGTAGAACTTGGTTATAACGTCATCAAAGGGACCTAAAAATAGTGTCGTTATAAACAAATGTCGTTGTAACCGAAGTGGGCACTTCCACAGTAGCCTTATGTTAGTCACGTAAAAATCTACCAAAAACCGAGTTAAAATGTTGCATTTATTAGTGAAATACGTAGTTAAGTACAGACTAACGTAACATTAACGTGGAATTGCCCAAATGTGTAATATCAAAGACATATTACAGCGCTTGTCACTGACAATACACACAGTATTTCACTAATCACTTTAACTTTCTCTTCAATGCTTAAAACTTTCCTTTTCATTGCCACGTTTTCGCTACTGCACTTCTCTGGGTTTACGCAGGAACACTATAGGGTAAGTAGACAATGTGAGGTCCTGTTAGACGAGATTCTAGGAAAGGAATGCAATTAACAACCTGCCGCTTCTTCTTGCACTATTCACGCAGTCCCACCCCACACCCTTGTTTTCGCATAAAACCCACGCTCCTCTTGCAGCCCGCGGTCGTATTCTTCCAGGACAGTCACGTCAGCAAGTAGAGAAAGTGAGGGTGGGCAGACACATCAAACTTTCCCACGATATCAGAGAAATTCAGGAATGAAAATGACGTTACATACGAGGTCGATGCATTTGTGCATGTTGTACTAAGCAATGTAAAAAATCAGTTGCTTTATGAGGAATTAGTTCGTACCATTGAATATTTGACGCAATAGACAAGGTGTCGCAGAAACCGATGTTGCTATAACCAAGTTTTACTGTAATTGGTTCTTGGAATCTGGTGACCTTCTCCAAGAAAGGACCAATAGGAGAACAGTAGGCACAGACAGACTGCTCAACCTGGATAACCTGGGATGTTATCAAGTGTTAACTCATCCTTCAATGGAGTCTAGCGGTTGCTATTAGTAAAAGGTTCGTCCAGAAATTAAAGACCGCCTGCACATGTGCACTACATGCTGACTTTGCATGGGACATTTTTTTCCATCTTCCCTACAATCTGGACCCGCCTCGAAGTGAATCTCCCTTGTTCACACATTTGAAGTAGTTTCTGGGTGGCACGCACATGCGTAATGATGAAGAAGTGAGGAAGACGGTTAAAGGCTGGTTCAATGGACTGGCGGCAGATTTTTATGATGCTGGCATACAGAAACTTGTCACATGATATGACAAGTGCCTGAATCCTCATGAGGATGTGGATTTAAGGTGTGCAGTTTTTATGTAAAATAAAGTTTATTAATTTTATTCATTTATTTTTTTTAGTCACCAAACGGTCTTTACTTATACGGTGCATGGCAGTGTAGTTAGTTGAGGCACTATGCTCCAAGCTGGAAGATTGCGGGTTCAGTTCCTGATGAGGTGAATTTTTTTCAATTTACCTAATCCCTCGAGTCACACTATGCCCCTGGGGTCGACTCAGCCTCTAACAGAAATGAGTACTGGGAATCTTCCTGGGGGTAAAGGGCAGCCGGCGCATAAGGCTGACAACCTTACCGCCATCTGTGAGCCGATTGTCTAGAAAATGTGTGAGACTCGACGTCTCACAACCTTATGGCCCTTTACAGCCTGTTACATGAGTAGCTTTACTTTTTTTACCTTTATGGTCTTTACTTTCTGGATGACCTGCATATATGAGTTTAGATATGTAACAGACCTTGGCTACTGCTGTTGGGTGAACTGCTCCTTCATATGGGCAACCACATACACAAGAAATATAACCTCGAACACGCAATCCCTTGTCCAGAGCTGCTTTTGCCACTTCATGGAAAATCTCGTTACTCTGAGCCACTGTACAATTGATATTCTTCTTTGTGAAACTTTCAGAAACAGCTCCAAAAATGGCGATTTCTTCTGCACCTGCTTCTATCTGTGAAAGTGACACAGAGGAGACAACGGTTCAGAGGAGAGTCACCATAACATCTAGAAATTCCTGGAATCAGTGACTGACTAGTCAGACTACTGTAAATAAATTATTACAATTATTATTCATGCTGCAGATCGACATTTAACTGCTGCAGGAGAATTAAAAACACAGAACACCATAATAAATGTGTGATCCATGCATTGACTGAGTGTTCTTTTCAGCAATGTTAGCTCAGTCAGCATTTTGAAAAATAAAATCTGATGTGCTTCATGATTGTGGTAATCCATACACTGGTAGGAGATGTGATTGTCTGACACCTCCAGCCAGGCCACCGTAACAGTTCCTTCAGGCTTACACTAGCCACTTGTGAGCTCTGTAACAGTCTCGCTTATATCTGTTGCTGCAGTTATGTTTTCACTGAGCTGTTGCCTAGCAATGACAGAGGGATACACATACAGACACACAGACTTATGTGGGGATTTATGAAGTATGGCCACTGGCATGGGTTCACGTGCTGTGATATATGCTCCAAGTTTCATAAAGATCGGGGAGGGGGATTCACAGACTCAGATACACAGACAGCATGGAGATTGCATAAGCAGGCTAGAATTACATGACACTTACTGCTCTTGCAAGGCCTTTCATGTTGGGAACAAGAACTGAATAGTTGACACCCGGATGTTTTGTAATATGCTGTAATACTTCTGCATGATCCGACATCTGAGGAACCCATTTTGGTGAAACAAAACTTGTAACTTCAATTGATTTCAGCCCCGACTTTGAAAGTTCATCAATTAATTTTATTTTGACATCTGTGGGTACAATGCCCGGCTCGTTCTGCAGGCCATCACGTGGACCAACTTCAACTATTCGAACCTTCTGTGGGAATGATGGTCTTGCTTTCCCTGCCATCTGAAACAAAACTCATTTTATCAAAATAATTATGCATCATTAATTACCTGAAATATATTAAACAGTTAAATAGATTTTGGAATTTTCTGAAACATTCTAAACAACAACAAAAAAACACACACAATTCTCCTTTATCCTAGGGGACCTTATGAATATCAAACTGACAGGAATACGATAACACAGAGGTTCATTTCTTTCATTCATTTTTGGTTCATTTCACAGTGAGGTTAAAGGGTGCTGATAAATACAATTGAGCTGCCAATTATAATAATAATTTCAGAGTTATATTTTAAAATGGCAACTCAAGAATTACACTGGAGCCAAAACTGGGTAAACAGCTGACTCACTGATGAATAATAAATTTATGGAACACAATTCAATGTATTTCATACAACACAACTGTCTCTACTCAAGGTGCACTAAACAATAGAAGAACTGACCTACCAAGAGGAACAAAACTGTTTCATGATAATATGGGTCACATGAACATTAAACTTCAATCCATTTACCCCAGCTGAAAGAACGTCTTCATCTTCTAACTTAAAAGAAATAACATATTTCAGTACCCTGTTCTTATCTCTGTAATGTACTCGTCGCTAATAAGAACACCTACAATTTTCTATAACAAAATTCATTTTATTGTGCCACGTACTATAATAAAATCCGAACTTTGTTCACCACTAAATTCATACATAACCTCACCTCTGTTTCCGTAGAAGCGTATTTGTATTTCTTCCGACACAGCTGAGTAAACGACTTCATTAAATCCCACATCTTATTTCATGTTTCTGATATACACGTTAACACCTCACAAACGTTTTTATGTCCAGGTACCTTGTCCACTTACGTCCTTCAAATTGTAGTACAATTTACAATAATTTATATATTGAAAGCATATATCCTGATATAAGGTAATGATTAATAAATCTCTATTAGTTTCCCTACTTACTGCTGAATTTCGGGACACAATGTTCATACATTTTACAGATATGTTACAATAACGAACACACATTCCAAACGCAAACGGAGCCATTATCTAGCCTTAATGTACTCCACATCCGCACCCGGCGCTAGTGTACTGGTACGTCATGGACGTCAGGGACACAAGGTTATCTTTCAGGCTAGATAGAAACGTATGTTAACAAAGTGTGATAACTTGATTTCATCCGCATGTAAATTCATTAATACAGCTGTATCACGTAATTTAAACAACCGAGTTTCAAACACGTAATATCTAAGAAAGGTACATTTTGAAGTACTTCTATGTTTTGACGTTTGTTTGCGACCTTGTTCGGTGACTTTTCAAGGTGGTTTATTCACCCCGTATCTCCCACGTATTACGGCGTGCATAAATCACAAAGAAAGTCACAAAAACGCAAGTGTTCCTAACTCTCTTAAATTATAGTTCACAGCATTTTATTTTTATGCCCTTCGGCAAGATGTTCTAAGCAAAGCCTTGGACGTACCAAAAACCCATTTCCAACTCTGTTCTAAAAGAAGGGTAATTTATTTTAAAAATATTACGTCGATGTTTTTTTACATTCGTAAGAGCAGTGACCATATGGAAGGGTAATCCATAATGACGCATGCTTTGAAAGTCTAACGAAAACATACGGAAAATGATCAACATTAATTAATAGGTCTACTTCTTATGGGTTATTAAAAAACGGGTAATATTTATATAGTTGTGTTTCGTGCTTACATGTACCGTTATACCCATTGTCCACGTCAGTAGACTAGACTATTATAGATGGACAAAGCGGGTCTTTATCTAGTTTCGTTTGTGACCCGTTTATATAATTATATTACTATAAACCTATATGTTGCCGGTCACGGTAGCCGAGCGGTCTAAGGCATGTACTGTCTTCGCTCGCTCGGAAGCCGGGAACGTGGGTTCGAATCCCACTCAGGGCATGGATGTTTGTGTGCGTTTTTCTGTGTTTGTCTACAGGTAGAGGCCTTGCGACGAGCTGATCACTCGCCCAAGGAGTCCTACCGTATGTGTAAGATCTAGAAAAACCGAAGTGAACGGAGAAGTTCATGGAGGTAGGCCTAGGCCCACTGGGGCTGTAGTGCCAAGGGAGGGGGGAAAACCTATATGTTATGCTGGGCCCGGATTTTCTGTAACTACCTGTGGGTTGTCGATGTATGAAGAGGCAACCATTTGTTGAATTGTTCCGTAAATATTGTCGCGTGTTTGGAATCCGGAAGGGTTACTTCCATGGAAACGCAGCAGAAGGTTCACTGCGTAGCAACGGCCACGGATATATAAGAAGGTAATTCTTTTGCCGACACAGTCTTGGGATAGCCTCCGTTCAGATGTCACAGCTGCAGAAGGCAGTATAAGCATTGAAGTAGAGGCAGTAGTAGTGATACTGCAACTGATAATAATTGTAAAGTGTGTGAGTGTAGAGGCGAAGCACTATAAATATCCGCTACATCCTTGACGGCATAAAGTTATTTGTCGCAGCGACTTTAAGCACACAGAGCAAATGATGCTCGAGATGGTTCGAGTTCGTATAGCAACAAGCGTGACCAGAGTGGTTAGAACGGTTGTTGTACTGCGATGTGGAAAGCAAATGGAAAAACTACCACATTATAACTTTTCCTGGATAGTCTCTTTCCAAAAACAGAGATACCATGTATGCGACCAGAAGACGAGGAAAAAGACGTAAGAAGATGCTGGACGACCTTGGGGACAGAAGAGGATATTTTTATTTGAAGGAGAAAGCTCTAGATCGCATTAAGTGGAGTAACTGTTTTGGAAGAGACTGTGGACCTGTCGTATGACAGATTACTGATGAAAATTAAAATACCGAACACGTGACAACTGATGTCAGAAATGGGACTGGACTTACACATGTGACCGACAAGATACGAATTTAAACACGCCTCGATCTAAGACGTAAAACTGGACCAAGATTACAGGGAAAAACAAAGATAGACTCACAGCAGATGACGGAATTCCTGTTGAGAGAGATGAGGGGCTATGGCCGCAGAAACGGGAGCCATCCGAGCAGAAATGGCCGCCGTGCGAAACAAGAGGATGAAAGCCAATATNCAACATTTAGGCCCATATTTCATACATAGTGAGTTGTTTGTTAGCTTTGAAGTATGAAACGGGCTTTATTACAGGTCATATTACATAAGAATTTTATGAAATATTACTGACAGGCTGAAATTCAAACTATTGTGACATATTTGCTCAAAGCAAGAACTGTAGGGCCAGAGAAACAGCATTTGCTAGAGAACGGCTCTGAAACAAACAACGGAACAACACCCATTTCTAGGTAGCAGATTCTTAATAATGCAACAATTGCAATACAACAAAGGAAGAACGTCGTTTTCCACGTAGTCCGTCCCGAGAGGCTATAAGCGAGACAAGATTTAGAGCTCAGTAAGTTGATGGGCGGTGAAGAGCGAAGAGAAAGTTGATGTGAAATGGCTCCAGTTATTTGCAAGAATGAAAGTCAGCCTGTGGGAAGAAGAATTTATTTGTGACGTTTGGAGTGTGTAATTCAGTGAGACTGTTATAGTCCTTTTGTTAAAAGCTATTGTCAAGAAATGGCTAGTGGAGGCTGTAATAGACGGAAGACACTGGTCTGTGTGTGTCAGTAATCTGTAAAATGTAGTCACGAGTCGTGTCTCCGTGGCCTGTAGTCCGTAAGAGAACTATACCGACCGAGCGACGGCCGCTTGTCGGCGAAGTTAGTGCCAACTTTTGCGGATAGAGGGTGTCACGTGGTCAGCGCAACGAATCTCCACGGCCGCTAATTTCTGTTTTCCACACCGGAGCCGCTACTTTTCCATTCAAGTAGCTCCTCAATTATTCTCATGAGACTGAGTGGAGCCCATTCCAGACCCACCACTTCTCAGAAAATCTGGTAGTGTCGGAAATCGAACCCGGGATCTCTGGATATGTAGCCATGAACTCTGACTACATACGCTTATATGTTGCAATAATTATCAAGAGAGAACAAGTTCTCCGGGCCGTGTTTGTGATAACAGAGGTCACCACGTGAAGATATGGGTGGCATTCATGTCGGAAGAACTTTAAAAGTGACTTAATGTCGTTTACGTTACAATATTTAACGAAAGATTTCGCTGAGAATCCGTCAGAGAAGCCGGTCTCCGAGCAGAGATATGAAATCAGGACCATTCGAATGCAAAACAGGCGTGATATCCACTCAATGACGACAAATATCTTTCTTTTATTGATCCAATCCTCTTAGTACAGATATATTTCCATGGTGGCATAAAAATTTTGCTGTTTGAAAACCTTGAATATTTAAAATTAAGTTTGATTCTTCCGAGACGATGGGAGAAGTCCCATTCATAGAACTTCTGAGGAATTAGTGACGTAAATGTCAGTGTTTCGAGAGATATACCTTGTAATCAGGGAAGAAAGTGTTATGTATTACCGCTCTGTGCGAACAGATGTGAAGCAGATGTCGTTAATATTCAAGGCCTTGTTTACTAATCCCATGTGCCACGGTATCTTAAAAAATAGATTTATTCAAACAGGAAATCGTGGAATTCGAGGAGCATCCCTAGTTCCTCTTCAGCGGACAGTAGGTAGTCATTTGTTTCCTTTTCTGTGGGGGGAAAAAACCCCAGGCCTCAGAAAAGTAACCCCAATAAATGTTCGTTTCGCATGTTTAAAGGTTTGAGAAGTAGCACATTGAAAGTTTAGGAGACTACATTAAAATTTGGTTGAGGGGCTCGGCTACAAGCCGGAAGGTCGCGAGTTCAAGTCCCGATGAGGTCACTGGATTTTTTCAATTGCCCGCACTATGGCCCTGGGGTTTACTCAGCCTCTAACAGAAATGAGTACCACGAATTAATTAAATAACTTTCCTGGGGAGTAAAGCGCGGCCGGCGCGTAAGGCTGACAGCCTTACCGCCATCTTTGAACCGATTGTCTATATAATGTGGGACCCTATTATTATTATTATTATTATTAGAGGGGGTGGGTTTCCCCATGTTCTTAGACCAGTTATTGGTCCATTGTGCGTCCCCCTTTAATTTCTACTGTCTCCATACCTTACCGGTACTGGTGCGTGCTATCAGCCCCGTTCAGCCAACGAGTTCGGCCGTCGATACCTGATATTTCCCCCATCTACCAGAGGCACTGGAAACTACTTGGCCGGGAAACTGTTGCCTAATTTTTGCTCAGAGGTCTCCTAGAGACATGAGGATCTTTTACGTACCGTAAATCTACGACACGGGACCCACGGCTTAAAGTCCTTCCCGGAGAACTTGTTCCCTGAATTTTTCCGCCCTTAAAAATTCCACGACCTCCGCCGGGTTTGAACCCGCGTACCTTGAGTCATGAGGTGGGAACGTTACATGTGGGACCCTATGCTTCATTTGTTCGTTACATTTCACCGTCATTTATACTCTTCGCTTATAATCTTTGATCTGAAGCCAAAGAAGAAGTATTCACTTCTTTCTTGTGTCTCAGAGTCTCTGTTTTCACTTTCATCTGTGAATGGTGCCACCAACCGCTCGGAGAACGCTCCACTGTGACGCTTATCTTAGTTTTATATCTGCAAGCAGGTTCTCTGATGCTCCGTTGCATTTCACGTGCATTAAATGTTAATCAGGCGTTGCAAGAAGTGAATCTTCTTTTGTTGTGTCAAAAATAGTCACTCAGCTTCTTGTTACCGTCCCCTACTCTTTGTCAGTGTTGAGCAGTGAAGACAATGTGCGGATTTCTGAGGTGTCGTTTCCACAAAGTTGTTTCAGTGAAGGACTGAAGAATGAAATAACTATTTTATTAGAAGAATCTGGGAATTAGAAGTGACAGAGGAATTCTGGGAAACCTAAAATCTCTTCGCATTGTACCAGGTAAAATTATTTTTATCTTCATTTGAAATCTTGAATAAGTAGTCATTTATATATCTCTGTTTCCTGCTTCTTTCTTAAGTTATTTTTTATTTTCTTCATTCATCACTTCTTTTTCTTCCCTTTTTTCCTCTCTTTCGCCGCCTGTACTGTTTGAGACACACTCAACCGGTCCGCTAATATTACAAGT